ACCACAGACACCTAGGACCTTCCCTAACACCCACCGACACACGCACACGCACAGAACACACTCCCAGACCCACGTCCCCTCGCAGACGTGCACATGCTCACACGTCCTTGCTGGCGCACAGGCAAGGTAGTCACTGATAAAGGCCGGAGCTGATCTACGACGGCAAGACAGAGGGCGGGGTGAGGATAAAACAAGGAGGGACTTCGAAAAACAACAAAGCAACCCTGACCAGCGTGGCTCAGTTGGTTGGGTGTTGTCCAGAGAAAAGTCAAAGGTCGCCAGTTAGATTCCTGGTCTGCACGGGCCTATTGTTTATCTCTCACACTGATGTTTCCTGCCCTCTCTCCCTCCCTTCCCCTCTCCCTAAAAATACATAAAATCTTTTAAAAGAAAAACAACATAACAGGGCAAGTTAACCAATACGACACACAGAAAACCTCTCAGCAAAGACACCAGGTTGGGGAACACGCATGGGGCACCTGTGGCCAGAAGCCGCCCCAGCTGCTGGGAGCACCCCGCTGTGGTCGGGGTTCCAGACTGAAGCACGTGCAGGAGGCTGAGCCCCCAACCCACGACCTCCCCACCAGCCTTAGGATAAGCATTTTTTTCTACCACTTTAATTTCAGACATGAACAAGAAATGCAAATTATAGCTTAGAAAACTCTCCTAAACGGCCATGTGTGTTCTTACCATACACACTCCCTGCTCTCACAAACTAGAACTCTTGGGAACAAAGCAGTGGAAACCACCCCACGGAGAGCTGAAAGTGATTGCCCAATGTTTCCCACTTTTGCCCTGGGCAGGTGACTCAGTTGACTGGAGCCCAGTCGAGCACACACACCAAAGGCTGCAGGTTGGGTCCCTGGCTGGGGTGCATCCGAGAGGCAGTCGATCAATGCTTCTCTTTCACATCCGTGTTTCTCTCCCTCTCTCCCTTCCTCTCTCTCCCAAGTCAATAAACATAGTTGTTTTTTTTTTTAAAGGTTTACCACTTTCCCTTTTTCCACAATTTCCTTCCTGGGGATGGCATGATCTGGCCAGGTGAGCCCAGGTTCAAGAGGTCCCACCCTCAGGGGCAGACACCTGGGCGACCACACCCACGGCCCTCCGGGCAGAAGGAAGGCTTCCTGCTGCTCAGGGCTCACCCTGCAGAAATCCCCTACTTACTGGAAGCCAGCCCGGCCCTTCCTGCTTCTGAAGAGGAAGTCAGAAGCCCTCAAGCAAGAGAAAAGGATTGTTTCAAGGGCTGCCACTCTTCTCAAGAAAACGGGACTCCAGGGATATCACCTAGAGAGCGAGAAACTGCAAATTAAATCACGCGATGGACAGAACAGAAAGGAACTTTCCGCATACTTCTTTCAGACTCATCTGGCATTGAATCCTAAGAGCTGCCTCCTCGCCAGGAGAAAAGAACAGAATGACGATAATTTTAAAGGATGAGGGTACCTCATACAATCCATACAATATGCTGTGTTCCTGTACATTTCCTCCCCTGGTTTGCACCAGTTTATAATGTTAGATTTTCTTATTTAATGTCTCCCACTCCCCTCTGCCACCAATTCCACAGGGAGGGGGCAGCATCCCCTCTTTGTTGCTATATCCCAAGCTGGGGGTACAAGTAAACAGGGCCAGCAGTTGGACACCTGAGGGCTCTATTTTCGAGCTCACAGCACTCTCTCAAAAGAGGGTCCCCGCAGAGGGGCTGAGATGTAGCAACCACCCTCCTCATTTTTCAGGCTCAGTGGGAGCCCCAGAAGGATTGGATGGGGTTCAGGTGAGTTGAGGAGCCGAGGAAGGCCAACCCGAGGTGAAGGTCTTGCTCTGAGTCCAGCTTTGTTACCACCCGTCTGCTCCCAATGGCTCTCGCTGTAGAAGATGACAAAGTTCTGTACACCGGGGCAGTTCCAAATGGGTAGCCCTCGCTGGACATAGCTTTGTAACAGGAAACATTCAAGAAGCCACCAGGCAGTTCCTCAGAAAGGTGAACTAAATTACCATATGATTCAGCAATTCCACACGCAAGAGAATGAAAACATACATTCACAAGCCAATGGTCACAGCAGCATCATTTGCAATAGGCAAAAGGTGGAAGTGACGCAAACACTCATTAATGAAGGCATACAGAAAATGTGGTATAAACACACAATGGGATACTATTCCACCACCAAAAGAAATAAAGCGCTGACACCTGCTCCCTGGATGAACCTCAAAAACATGACACTCAGTGCAAGAAGCGAGAACCACAGGTCCCATATTATATAATTCCATTTATATGAAATATCCAGAATGAGCACATTCAAAGAAATGGAGGCAAATTGGTGGCTGCCAGGTGCTAGGGGAGGAGGAGCGGGCTGTGACTATGTAATGGGTACGGAATTTTAGGGGGGCTGATGAAAACATTTTGGAACTCAATATAGGTGATGGCTGCACCACACTGTGGATGTACTAAATGTTATTGAACTTCACACTTTAATGGCATGCGAATTTTAGCTTAAAAAAATTTTTTTAAAAAGAAGCCACCAGAAACGTTGGCAGGGCAGTGCTGAGCCCACTGCGCACGCCCCCCAGGCAGCGCTGGGTTTGGTGCCCTGGCTGTGGAACACCTCAAACACAGTCGGAGTCCCTCAATGAGAAACAACATGAAAACCAAAGCTGTGCCATGTGCCAGACCAGAGGCTGCCAGATGTTGCCCTCGGCGCTCCCTTTGCACTGGGACCCCCAACACATACACAACTGTAAAACTACAAGTTTCAAAACTCGCCTGTGTTCTATGATGACACTGTGGCATCGGACACGCGTGCTAACTTGATTTTGCCCATTCGGGAAACCGGGTACAAGATCACTTGACACTGCAGTGCTAACAGCTTTAAAAGCACTTAAATTTGTGCTTGTCCAGACAATGGAATATTATTCAGCACTAAAAAGGAATGAGCTATCAAGCCATGAGAAGACTTAAATGCACTGGACTAAGTGAAAGAAGTCAGTCTGAAAAGACTACATACCATGATTCCTGCTGCATAACATTCTGGAAAAGGCAGAACTGTGGAGACAGTAAAAAGGTCAGTGGTTGCCAGGGGTTGGGGGAGGGAGGATGAATAGATGGCACACAGACGACTTTTAAGATAGTGAAACTACTTTCTGCATGACACTATAATGATGGACACATGTCATTATACATTTGTCCAAACCCGTTGAGTACACACCAAGAGTGAGCTATAATGTGAACTACGGACTGTGGGTGATGATGGTGCATCAATGTAGGTTCATCCATGTGCCAAATGCATCACTGTGGCGAGGATGTTGATAACGGCGGATCTGGGCGTGTGCAGCATATATGGGAACTCTCTTTCTTCTCAGTTTTGCTGTAAACCTAAAACTGCTCTACAAACATTTATTTTTAGGGGAAAAAAAGAGTACTTCAGTGTGTGAACATTTTCCTAATACTACAGAGAACAGTCACAAGACAGTTAAGTAAATGCACCAGACTGTACACTTGGCCATGAAATGTTTTTGTGGTTTTTTTTTAATTCTTGTTTCTTTAAAATTCTCAGACTAAAAATCTCCATTCTCTTTCATCACTCTTACTGGGTCTACTTTAAATTCACTCATGCGCCTATGAAAAACAGACGACTCATTGTAAACATCTGAGTCATAAATGTAGATTAATAGGCTCCAAAATGCAAATCAGAATTTTTTAAGTAAAATTCCAACGTCTACACTTACACCTAATGGAGATCTTTGAGCCCAGAGAGTCAGAGAAGGATTTTAACATCCCAAACACAAGAGGCTGTCACTGGGGAAAAAACCAAGGTCAAATTGTATACATGTGTATGAAGCCACATTTATAGTTCAGTGCCTATTGGAATTGTTCTCAATAGCAACTGGGAAGCCAGCTGTCCCAGAAAAAACATTTTCATGGGTATGGTTGTGGTCAGCCAGGAAGCAGTCATGTGCTTAAAGCTGGCTTAACAGATGCAATAATGGAATAGTTTTTAACAAGACACAAACCAACACTTATGTATAAGGTTACCTCGCCTAGACGGACAAACACATATTAAGAAATACAGCCATTTGTGGTTTGAAAATGGTAAAAATCTTTTTCAAGATCCAAGTAGACATAAAGTACTCTCATTAATTGGAATTGATTCAGTGTTTGCAACAAACTCACTCCAAAATCCCCAGCAAACTGTGGCAGAATCAAAGAACCTTTAATTCATACAAATATATTAAGAAAGCCTGTACTTTGACCAATAAAATGGAAGGTCCAATAAATGCTCAGGCAAGCCCAGGTTCAAGAAGGGTCTCCAGGCATCTGACATCGCTTTATAATTTCCACAGTATCTGTTATGGTCCTTGAAACAGGGCTCTTGTTTTGAAGACTTTGCATATGTAATTAATAACAACCTGGGAACAATTATATACCACCATCTGAACAAAACTGCTAAATATGCATGGCCTTCAGTTTTGTCAAATGAAAGAAAAACACATGATCAAAACTGAGCATAAATTTTTCAAGACCGTAAGATAGGGTTTACATAACAATGTAAGCCACGCTGAGACGACATTATTTTCCTGCACCTTCCCAAATGCAGTTTTATCACCAGGTGAAAAAGGGGAGGATGACATTCATATTCCTGGCAAGTTACAATGCTCTCCTTCTAGCATCTCACAACCGCCCTGATCAATTAACAAAGCACGTTTTGTTTGCAGAATGAATGGGGACAGCTTTCTTCTGTGCATTTTATTAAAACTTGAAAGCTGTGGCTGGCTGCCATCGATGACGCCTATTGCGCTCCAATAGCCTAATGTTAAAATCTGACTCACTAGCAACCTACCCGACTCAGCATCGGTCATCTTGACATAGCAGGATATTCAGTAAGTCTGAAGTTTTTATCAGGAAGGATTTTCTACTGTTATGGAGCAAATAAAGGTTCTTTGTAACAACGGCTAGAAACACATGAGACCTTTCTTCACACTGTAAGAATTGATAGTTCACCAAATGAACCAAAGACTTTATTTTTTTAAAGCAGATAAACACCAAAGTACGATGTAGTATCCGTATTCGTTGCAAAAAAATAATTACTGGAAGTTCAAAATATCAAATGAATAAGCTGAATCAATGCTTATGACTCTAATTTTCAGCCAATATACAGATTTTTGTTCAAGGCCTAGGCTTGACTTCTACATAATATTATTCACATGCATTCCCTGTGCCTATTTATCATCAAAATGGGGACTCTCGGAAGGCAAGCCCAGCTTTGTCTTGATTTCAAAGATGACACGGCAGCAACCCAAGAACTCTGGCTTGCTGCTTGAGTCCTAGAAATCATGTCTTCTGATGTTATACAACAAATTATATTTCCGAAAAATACAATCAGACTTTAGATGCCCTTGAAACAGTTCCGGCCCCCGAGCTTTTCAGCACCATGGTACCCGGATGGGCTCACACGTGCTTTTCTTCCTGTCCAAACTCACCACCAGGAACCCAAAAAGGATCCCACTTTCTGAGTTCTGTTACAGAGGTTTTCAAGAACAACATTAACCCAGGTAAAGGCAGTGGGTGCAATTACATATGACTGTTTCTGTTAAGGGGAAAAAAATAAACAGATATATATATATATATATATGAGAGTGCCCTGGCAAATGGGAAAATGATACCAATTATACAGTTACAGAAAACAGTTCTATAAATGCCATCTTTCAAAATTATGTTCAAAGGTGTTTAAGACCAAAAGGTCATTAAAAACTGTTAATACAAATAATTTCTCCACGAGAAAAAGCCCTTCATGGAAAGCGGCCAAGGGTCTGGCACAGAGAGCTGAGGGAAGACAGGTCAGTGAGGAGACCGAGCCCCGGATGTCTAGCATCGTTTATGACCCCACGGATGTGTGTCTGGGGGGCGGGGGTGAGTAGTCCCTCCATGGACTTAAAGAATTAAGAAATTAAAGTGAGTTTTCGTGCTTGTGACAAGCCTGCAGTTACAGAACCTGAGTGCCACGGCCTTAAGGCAAGCCTTTTGTCATCAGACGTGAGGACAGACGGACACGATGGGGACTCTAACGTCTGGCTGGGCCGCATTCAGGCCAGAGCAGTCTCACACGTAAGGCAACCTGTGGCTTCTCAGTTTGAGCCCGCCACCGGGAAGGCCCACGGAGGCAAGAAAAGAAGCTGGCAAGGCAAATCACCAGAAGATATTCAGACAGGGCAATGATCACAGTTACACGGGATGACGTGGGGTGGCCGGCAGGCGGGAAACCCTTGACCCAGCACTCAAGGTGAATGTCTCTGCATGTCCTGTGCACGGCTCCAAGCAGCAGTTTCTGGGGTTTGGAAGTGTGTTACTTTTGCAATATTTTTCCCCCAAAAGAAGACACAAAGGTGGAGGCCCTGGAGAGATGAGACCACCAAGGTGGAACCTCCACCAGGGCTGGGGCTGGCCGAGAGTCGGGAAGGACCCCCTGCCACACGCGGCTCCCGTCAGGTCTGGCCAGGTCCTACAAACGCTTGTAGGTGCCCAGGAGAGCTTTGCAGTTAGGACAGTAATGGTCCACATCCTGCAGGGCGTCCACACAGAAAGGGATGAAGCAGCAGCCTGCTATGCACCTGGGTGAACAAAAACAGTCACAAGAAAAATATGTTAGTGACTGGAGTAGTTTGGATGGTGGCCACCCAAAAGATACATCAGGCATCCTAACCCCTCAGAACCTATAAATGAGACCTTATTTGGAGATAGGGTCTTTGCAGATATAATTAAGGATCTCAAGGTGGGGTCATGCTGGACTATCCAAGAGGGCTCCCTAAACCCAATGACTGGTGTCCTTAGAAGAGGAGAGGACACACAGAAACACAGGGGAACGAAGGCCATGTGAAGACAGGCAGTGCTGTGGCCACAAGCTAAGAACACCTGGACAATCAGAAGCCAGAAGGGGCAGAGAAGGATTCTTCCCTTAGAGCGTTCTGAAGGAACACGGCACCTTGATTTTGGAATTCTAGGTTCCAGAATTGTGAGAAAATAAGTTTCTATTGCTTTTAACCAACAGGTGTGTAGTCATTTGTTATGGCAGCCACAGGACACTAATATGCCACCTACTGCCAAGCTTGCTCCCACAGACAGACTGCACCGAGCACATTTTCAAATCTTGGGTTATCTAGGTACCTTTCAACGTCTTAGATTGAGGTTAGTGAACTTCTTTTGTAAAGAGCCAGATACTACATAGTTTATCTGCCATTGTAGCATGAGAGCAGCCACAGATAACCCACATACAAATGGCATGATGTATTCCAATAAAACTTCAATGGGCTAGATTTGGCTCTTGGGCTGTCGCTTGGTGACCTGTCTCAGACAGATCACTTTTCCATATGGAGAGGCTGCTTCTTACAGCAACAACCAAATAAAGTTCCCCAAAATAATGTCCCTTAACCTATGTAATCAGCATATACAGGAAGGACCTCCATAAGGCCTGTGGCATAGTAAGAGAGAGCCAGTTGTACAAGAGGCAAGGGCTCCTGAAAAGAAATGCACAGACACCACTTCCTTCAAGGAAGAAAACAGAGCCCCATGGTTTTCTGAGAGACTCCTACGGCCAGGAATAAGGTGGCTGCCTTTATCTGTTTGGGAAAAAATTTTAAGTTGTGTTTCTTCAAATTTCTCCCAGAACAGAAAGTGTTGTCTCTTTCAACATAATACTCTTGGTACAGACATAAATATTTACACAATCCCCTTGTGGATGCAATGGGAAAAATACTTGGGCTCATAAAGACAAGAAGTTTTGAAAAGATAACTATCAAGCATTTTTATGTACGGATTATTTAAAGCTTCTCTCAGAGTCAGGCAAACATTATTATTTAGGTCATGAAATTCTAGAAGAAAAAGAAATCCCTAGGGTATCACCCTACACAGATGTAAGTGGCTGCTACGCTTGTCCCCACACACAGGGAGTGGTTTGAGCAGATGAGCAAGAAGAAATGATGGAACAGTAGCTTCCAGGCATTGACGTGCTTAAGAGCAGTGGTTCTCAACAGGAGGCGACTTCTAATTAATACATCGGGGAGAGATGCTGCTGGCGCAGAGTGGGTAGAGGCCAAGGATGCCGCTCAACATCCTACATGCACAGGACAGCAGCACACAAGACAGAAGTACAAGCTACAGTCGGGAAATCCTATGAGAGGAACATGGGAGAGCCTAGGGGTCTGAGTGGACCCCAGACTTACCCGAGCAGGCACAGGCTCCCACAGGAGAGCCAGGTGAGGGCACCGGCATTATAGGACAGCTGGGTCACAATCATCTTGTTGCAGGAAGGACAACACATCTGGACTGGGCGGTCGAAGAAGGCGACTGGCTGCTGCACGTAGACCGTCTGCACAGCAACTGGCGGAAGGGAAAAGGACAGAGCCCGATTAGTAAACAAGGGAAACGTCTGTCAGGCGACAGAAAGGTAGAGGCAGGGTCTGACAGTTATTGGCACACCCCTGTCCATAGCAGCACTATTCACAAAAGCCAGTGTCCACCCATGGATGAACCGATCAGCAAAATGTGGTCCATCCATACAATGGAATACGATTCAGCCTTAAAAAGGAATGCGGCTTTGACACACACGACACGGACGAACCCTGACGATGTCATGCGAAGTGAAATAAGCTAGTCACAAAAGGACAAATACTGTATGACTCCTCGTCTATCAGGCACCTAGAGGAGTTAAATTCATAGAGACAGAAAGTAGATGGCGGTTGTCAGAGGCTGCAGGGAGGGGGAATGGGGACGTGTTTAATGGAGACAGAGTTTCAGCTTCGCAAGAGGGACAAGTTCTGGAGACGGGTGGTGGTGGCGGTGGTTGCGCGACGATGTAAATGTACTCGATGCCACTGAACTTATACTTGGAAATGCTTAAGATGATATATTTCATGTTGTCTATCTTTAAAAATTGGGCGGGGCAGGCCCGAGGCTGCAGAAATCTGGGGCAGCCACCATCAGGAAGCCCCTCGGGGGCCAGGACCCCTCTGGCAGCGCGGATTCCTCAAGTCAAGACTGCAAACTTAAAGCAGTTGCACTTTTTTCTTTACAGCTTTTTCCCCAAGATGATTTGTAGTTGTGTGTGCAGCACTGTGCCCTGATACGGATGCTCCACAATAAAAACCAAATCTGATATTTAAAAAAATATTAGGGGAGGGGACAAAAAGGGAAAAAGAGGAAACGGGCAGATTTCCAGAAGTAAAACTTGAGGGGCTCTCTAAGCCGCCACACACGAGGTGGGGAAAAGGACTGTGTTCCCGGAGGAGGGGCTTGGCTCAGCTCGGCCAGGCTTTCAAATGCAATTGTCCGTGGAATCATGTGGGCGCTTATTGAGAATGCAGGTTCCCAGTCCCCACCCCCAACACAGTCTGACTCCGCAGGTCTGGGCCAGGGTCCTCAAACTCCATTTAAAGCTTCCTGAGTGGTTCTACAGAGGCGGTCTGCAGACGGTAATTTCAGAGACCATGATGTGGTGGGGGTTTTGTCCCCATTTTCTGCACCCATAGATTAGTGGTGGCCAGGGGCTCGGGCAAGGGGAATGGGGAAGGACTGCTAACAGGGAGAGGATTTCTTTCTGGGGTGATGGAAATGTTCTAGAATTAGTGCTGATGGTTGTGCAACGCTGCGAACAGACTAAAACCACTGAATTGCACACTTGAAAAGACTGAACTTTATGGTCTGGGAATTAAATTTCAATGAAGCTGTTATTTAAAAAATGGATGTAAAAGAGTTGTTTTTAGGATTAGATGAGATAATGCTGGTGAAGAAAGAGCCTCATACCATGCCTGGTACAGAGTGGCCCCTCGATAAAACAGTTCCCTCCTTTCACAAAAAGTGGCCCCTTTATCAACTCCAATGCCCAGTGCAAAGGCTGGAGCTCGCGGAGCCAGGGATACTGACCCAGTTCTTCACGGCAAGTCAGGGGACTGTGCTGACACAGGAAGAGAGCACATAAAATCATGCTGAAAGGGAAAACTAGGTGGCAAACACGCACATACATTCACAATCACCAGAAAAGAATCTAGATTCACGTCGATCCCAAAGCCCTTAGAGTTTTACATGTTCTTTTTGGTATTTGGCAAAGTTGTTTAAGCTCATATTTCTGTGAAAGTGACAGCCTTCGGTTCCTTTTTAGGCTGTTGGAATGCCATTGCTATAATCTATGTATTAGAGGAAATTAACAATTTCCCAGGGCTAACTGAGCCTAATACTCCTCGCGAGGCCCAGGAAGATGCTCCCCCCAGAAAAACACAATTGAAGAAGCCTGCTTTAGTAGTCATGTGTGAATTTTATTGACTTTTGTTTTGGTACAAAAATGAGTTACTTATTGAGCAGAGAGTGAGCTAAAAGTCAAAAGTTATCTTGTCCTCTCCCTTCTCAGGGGGTCAAAGTTACTTGAGCACTTTTATCAAATGATTACTCATAAAACTTGGTTTCACTTTAATAATTCATTGATGTAGGTAGTTGATGAGTGTTAACTTATACAGGAGAAAACTAGGGCACACGGGAGTGAGGTGAGCCCAGGCAGACTCACAGGCCTACTCTCTGCCCTGGCAATTTCCTCCTGAGTTGCTGGCGATACTGAATCAGCTGGTGATACTAAAGCAACAGGAAATACTCAAGGGCAAGGTCATGGAGAAGTTGCTAGAGGAGTGATGCCATGCGTGAGAGGGACTTGGATTGCTGTTGTGGCTTCAAAGATGGAGGAAGGGGGGCATGAGCCACGAAGCTGGAAAAGGCAAGGAAACGGACCCTCCCCTAGGGCCTCCAGAAAGGAAGGCTCGATTTAGCCCAGTGAGACCTGTCAGACTCCTAACCTACACAATGGAGCAACGAAAGAAGGAAGAAAGAGTAAAAGGAAGACAAGAAGAAAGCAAAAAAGAAGAAGGTATAGGAATGTCACATCTGTGGATGTTGTGAAGTTACTGAATCATGAGCAACAGGTCAGCATATTGCTTATGTCCAACTCAAACACTTAACAACAAAACTCAGTAAAGTCTGGGAACTGGAGCCAATGCTGGAGGTAGAGGCCACCTACCATCACCTTTGACTCCTTTTCCTTCATCTCTAGAAGGATGGATACTTGGGGTACAATCCAGCTCTTTCACTGTGGTCCTTCAAGGACCAGTATCAAAATAAATGCATGAAGAAACACTCCGGCTTCTAGGAGAAAGGGGTTTACAACAGTGTAACAGTGCCCAGCCATGGGAACCAGCTTTAGCTAATTCCAGCAGGACGAGGAGTTACTGCTGGGAAATGCAAAAGGGCTTAAACAAATGAAGAAATGAAAAAACCTCCCTCATTATAAGATAAATGAAATTTAAAACGGTACTAAGATAAAATTTTTTACCAATCACATTGGCAAAATTTCAAAAGTTGGACAATATACTCCGTTGGCAAAGGCTTTGAGGAAATGGGCACTCTCAGAGATCGCTGGGAAGGGTGCACAATGATAAACCTCTATGGAGGGCAATTTGGCAATATTAACCAAAATTACAGCCCTGACTGGTGTGGCTCAGTGGATTGAACACTGGCCTATGAACCAAAAGGTCACTGGTTCAATTCCTAGTCAGGGCGCATGCCTGGGGTGCCTGCCAGGTCCCCAGTTAGGAGCATGCGAGAGGCAACCGATCAATGTATCTCTCCCACATTGCTATTTCTCTCCCTCTCTTTCTCCTTCCCTTCCCCTCTCTCTAAAAAGTAAAATAAATTAAATATTTTTAAAAATTATAAATGCACTTGTCCTTTGACCCAGTAATCCTGTTTCTGGGGATTTCTTCTAAAAGCATACCTACATACTTAAAAGAAATCACATATGTGGTGCCGTTTACAAGCAAAAAATTGGGATCAAGCCAAATACACATTAATAGATACTGGTTAATATAAACTGTGGTACATCCACATAGTGCATATCTATGCTGTTGTAAGAAAATGAGAAAGCTGTCTATGTACCCATAAGGATATTTGGTTAAATGAGAAAAAAACAAGGTGCAAAAGAACGCACATGTACACATATACTATGTGTGTAGCATGCTATCATTTCTGTAAGAAAAGGAAGTGATAGGAATATTTATATGTGTTCATTATGTTTGCAAAGAGAAATGTCAAAAGGACATGTAAAGTTTAAGAGTAGTCACCTAAAAGTTGCAAGGGTCCACGGGATACAATGGGAAAGGAAGTGAAATTTCTTCATGCATATCTCATTGTATCACTTTGAATTCAGAACAATGTGAATCAGTTAACAACATTAAATAAAAAGGTGCTGCAATTTCCTAGAGGGCCTGGATAGCCAGGCTTGGAGGCTACTCACTGGAAACCTTGGACCAAATCACTCTGCCTGTTCTGTGAAATACGCCCTGCACGGTGCCTGCTGAGACGGCAGCAGTGGCGGCCACATGACATTCAGTTTCCAGAGGCAGGGAGCCATGGTTCCAGTGGCAGCCTTCTGTGTCCAGTGCCCAGGGACAGGGAGAGGACATGTCATGCGTCCACACTGGAGTCTTCACTGCGCTACGCAAACAAATGCCGGTGTGCCAAGGTACTGATCGTCCCAGCCTTTCGTGCTGCAGCTGGCAATGGGGCTGGGGCCCCAAGTTTGCTGCTTTGACAGCCTCAACCATTTGCCCCGCTGTGCGCCACACATGGTATGCTTTTTTAGGTATGTTTACTTTTGAAGAAGTTTGAGAAGCACTGGATTAGATAACAAGCTTTAAAAGAAAGCCCCCTCTCACCCCCGCATTCTGACAGTTGTGAGGTGATGATTTCACTGTGGTTTTAATTTGCATTTCGCTGATGATTAGTGACATTGAGCATCTTTTCATATGTCTATTGGCCATCTGTCCTCTTTGGAGAAGTGTCTATTCAGGTTCTCTGCCCATTTCTTAATTGAATTGTTTGTCTTTTTGGTGTTAAGTTGTATGAGTTCTTTATATATTTTGGATCCTAAACCCTTATCAGATGTTTAAAAAAAGAAAAAGAGAAGCTGCTGGAAGGCAGGGGAGCAACTTTTGCAAATGGTACTGCTGGGCTGGGGCAGGTTTCAGCTCACCCTCTCCTCACTCACAGCAGTTTCTTCCCCCTCTGCTACTCCAGGCCTGAACTCGGGGCTCAGGGCTTCTATCAAACTTCAGCAGGAAGGGTAGGGGCTCTGAAAAGCAAACTGTCATAGCCAAATTTCCCTGGCATGGTTGGTTGCGCCTCTGTGTACGTGCCAAAGGATCGATTTACGGCAGACTAGGGAAAGCTCATAAACCGTACTTTATTACGGAAAAGCCATGAGACTCTCTGATGCTGAACCTAAAAGACTGTATGTAACATTTCACACAAATGAAAATTGGACTGACTGGCACTTCGCTTAGACTCAGAGTCACTCGGGTGGCTCTCTTGATTCCCACATAGCCCCCAAGGCCAGGGCGGTAAGGAGACAGGGAAGGCCACACGTACTTGCATTGGCGTTGGGGACAGGCACCGGCTGGGTGTAGTACGCAGGAGGGTTCATGCCCTTCCCATCGGGGCCAGTCACGAGCCCTGTGGTTGGCCCAGGCACGGGAGCAGGAGGCGTGGGGAAGTAATTGCTAATGGCCACCGTCTCTTCATAGGACGGGGGTGCGGTGGGCACTGACGAAGGCCCAGCGGTCGCCTGGTACAGTCCCGGAGCAGACATTTCACCTAAAGCAAAAACAGAAGATACCAGATCAGAAAGTCAACTGACACCTCTCTCTCTCTCCTCCACTCTCATATTTAATTTTCTACCTGACAAAAAGAAAGTATGAGGAAATGACTCATGTTCAGCCTTGTCCAAAAGCCAGAAAAGGAGATCATGTCCCTTCAAGACCAAGAATCATCCCCTTAACAAGGATTCCCTAAATAAAGATAAAAGTAATGACAACGGAAAACTGCCCAAATCTATAAAAATCCCCTAAACTTAGAAAATCCCAGGGGCTAACATCTACCAAATTTGAGCAGAAGTTTCTTCACACTTCAAACCACCCGTCTTTCACACCTAGTGCTTTCTTCTTTTTAACTGCTGTGGTTTTTTACGAATAAAACTTCAGGTGCCAGAAAAGATAAAGGCATCCAAAATCCAACCACAGGCTATCGCAAATAGAGTGCTGCACAAAAGAAGCCAGACGCCAAAAACGCACACAGAAATGTACATGAAGTTCAGAAATGGGCAAAATGAATCATGAGGCTAGAAGTCAGGAAAGCGGTGACTCTGGGGAGGCGGAGAAGAGTGTGGAAGGGGCGGGAGGGAGGCCATTCTCGGGGGCTGGTCATGTTCTCTTTCTTCATCTGGGGCCTGGTTACATGGGTACATTAGCTTTGTGAAAATTCGAGTTGTGCACTTTTCTGTACGTATGTCTTAGTTTTTCAAAGTAAACACAAACACACACACACACACACACACACACACACACACACCACCCCCAATTCCCATTTTGAAAAATGAGTATCAGAGCAGCCAGGCGCACATTTCCTTTTGTGAGGGCAAAGAAAGGATTTTTTTTTTCTCCTGGAGCCAGTGCCCGCCTAGATTTACATGGCCTGTGCCCAGGGTGTGTTCCTGTCTGAAGGCCCACACTCACAGCCCCGGGGCCTCCGTGGAGCAGGACACAGTGCCGTCCTTTGTGCGGCTATGTTTTCCAATGGGGCAGGGCCCAGGCTGCTGTGTGTTAGGAGATCCATTCAAACCTGTCTCAGGAGAAATGGGGATACGAGCTCTCAGGGCAGCAAGCCACGGTTTGGGAGCTCGGATGGGTCTGCGGCCCCTTCCCACACGTTCTGCTTCATCTTCTAAAACCAGTGGGAAGCAGAGGCAGCAATTAATTCTGCTGCAGGGAGAAGGGGAGAATTCTTCGAGGAAGTTCTGCCATTAAGCCAGCATGAAAAAAGAGACTTCTCTGGGGGAAGAGAAGAAAGGGCATGCATTTCAAAGTGGAAAGTGAACATGTGCAAAACGAAGTCAGTAAATAAAGCTAGATCGGTTGGAACTGGGTTCTAGAAAATTTTGAAAGTCCTTTTGAGGTGTTTGGACTGTATAAGACTGTACTGTTCAATGGAACTTTCTGGAAGGATGGAAATATTCTCTATTGGGGCTGTCTAATATAGTTGCCACCAGCCACAGGATAGTGAACACTTGAAATGGCAGTCAGTGTAACTGAAGAACTCAATTTTTAAATTGTATTTAAATAAAAGCAATTTAATTTTAAAATAGAATATGGAATTCAGTTACCAGGAAGCCTTTTGTAAGGCTGGGACACCTTGGGTATGTGAATCTACTTTTGCAACAGCAAATTTAATAAACTCTGAATGGAGATCAAATGTTTTTGATAAAATTTTAGGATCCAGTTTGGGGTATGTCAATGTAAAATACACCCTGAGTTTCAAACATAAAAATGCGAACATAAAATATGTCATTCATAATTTTTTAATATCAACTGTATGTTGAAATGATACTATTTCAGATAGATGGAGTAAAATATGTTGTTAAAATTCATTTCACCTGCCTCTTTTACACTTTTTTAAAATGTGGCTTCTAAACAATTTTAAATTACCCATGTAGCTCATTTCCTAGTTCTATGGGACAACAATGCTGTGGAGCAATGGGAGCCATGGAAGGTTATAGAGAAGAGGAAGGTCCAACCCTGGAAAGGGTAGGTGACACAGAAGGTCTATAAGAGAAGCAAGAAGAAAACTGCAAAAGGTCTCTATATGTGAATGGAGAGGCCAGGAGGGCAGAGGAGGGTTAACAAGATCACAGAACATCTTTGAAAATAGGCTCAGGGGTTAAAAATGAGAGCATTGTGGAAAGTGGTTAAGGACTGTTGCCAGGTTCCTCTAACATACAGATACAAAAATGCAGAAGAACAAAGGCCACAAAGATCAGCCCCAGCACACATATCTATCAAGCTCACCTCCTAAGTCTGCTGATGTTCCCTCAGTCTGGCCCCAGGAACTCCCCCAGCTTCTTCTCACAGGGACTGGGCCCGAGAAGTCTTCAGCTGGGAGAACAGGCCAGGGTGCTCTGCAATAATTTACATCCACATTTGGCCTCAAGGACTTGCTGTCCCTTCCTGTCTCAGGAAAGGCAGACCCTTGCTGTCTACATGATTTATTATGAAAACTAAGACATATTAAAAAAAAAAAAAAAAAAAACCCACAAGAGCAAAAAACACCATGCGTACAGCAAGCCTAAAATAGCCCTGTTTGCTGTGGTTGCAATTGGAGTGCTTTGTGAAGGAAAAATAAGGTCTGGGGTGCCCTAAATTGTGCAAATAGTTTGAGTCAAACCACTGGAAGTCAACGACTCAACTCGGTAGAACTCCTCTGTTTCAAAACCACTGCTTCTCTCCTCCAAAAGTAAGAAAACGTGGCCAGAAATTGTAAAGATAGAACATAAAACTGTCAGGGGGTAGGAACCTTCTGTCCATGAAAGGTAAAGAACTCATTGTTCTGGAAATTAAGGCTCAGGGCCCCCCATTTATTGACCAGGCATCATCTTTCTTGTAATCACATCCTATTTTCTGGAATTCAGGACGTTGTCTCTTGGGAACATTGCTTTTGATCACGTAGCCACATAAACATGCTTATAATTTTGAAAAGAACAAGAGCAACAAACTGGAATAGTAAAAAATAAAAATAAAGAAAAGAGAACGAAAAAAGCAACAACCCCTAACTATCTGGTTTGAAAGCTTTCTAAATAAACTCCACAGCATTCCTTCCCTAGGCCCCAGGCCAGGAAATGCCACTTCACTCAGTCCCATTTCGTCCCCCTCTCCGTTTCTTTTCATTAGGCTTCCCCCAGAGACAGGAGGCCCACCTAGTCACCCACCTACTCACCCTTCCGGAAAGGATTTGCTCAACGCGCCTCAACCCTGCCCCCAACCCCAACAAGGTGACACTCTGAAGGGCAGCAGTTCCCACACCAACACACTCGCACATCACACATACCCGCACTCCACGGTCACCAGAGAACCCTTGTCACCTGAGGAGCTAGCACAATTACATTACTTGTGTCCTTTTTTCTGGGAGAAACTGCAAACTCTAGAAAAGTATCTGAGTTTTAAAAAACCCAAAGCCACAGTTTCACATGTAAAAAGCACAGCCTTAAGAATCCAGGGTGATAGGGCGCGCCGCGCCGCCACCCCCACTCTGCAGAGCCCTGGTTGCCATGGTTACAGGAAGCTGTGTGGGGAGGGGGATTAAAAAAACAAGGGGGGGTCTCCTTCTTCCCCCCTGTTCTTTAACTTTGTTTTTAAGCCCCCAAGAGTGGCTTTTCTCGATTATCAATGTAAAAGAACACGCTGAAGGTCAGTCTCCAGTCACCTTCCACTGGCCCCCATTTGAAATCAAGAAAACGCTAAAGGCCGGAGCTTTCTGTTTTCACCATCTCAGAATGGCTGTTTTATTAGCTACGTCCAAATCCAGGGAGACACTCCAAGCCCGTATTTTAAATATGGGAAATGTGGCCAGGCCGGCCTGCCGGGCCGGTGACCTGTGCGGCTCCAAGGGCCCTCTGCTCAGGGGACCTCGGTGGCCGCCATCTTGAAGTCCCGACACTGCCGGGGCAACCCCGGCTGTGCGGCCCGGGCCCCGCGCCTCTCCCAGGGCGTCCGCGGGTCACAGGAAGGGAAAAGGAGGCGCTCCGAGCCACCGAGCTGCATGTCTCACACGAGAAGCACTGGGCTTGGCTTTGGAAATTGGCTCATGACCAGCTGCAGAATCCTAGCCCCCACTTTCGTATCTGTAAATGTGCCACTTGGAATTTTGGGGTCCCTCGCTGAAAATTTCCTTTGTCCCAAGTCTCGACGTTTTGCCTAGTGAATGATATTCTCGTACATGGGCAGTGAAGGGGATATTCCTGGGCCTAGAGCGTGTCTGGGAGTAGAGCTTTCATCGAGCCCAGTAGAGAAGAGGCTTTCTCAACCTTGTTTTCATTACAGCTGCCTCCTCCACAACCCTCCCACCCTTGCCCCAAGGAGACAAATTAAATTATCTTTAAATTTAATTAATTAATTTAAGTATAATTTAATTTCTGCCTAACAAGAGAAATGAAATACTAAGAAATAAGATTTCATTCAGTAGGGTTGAGTTTTGGAGGGCCACACACCACTGTAATATCTAAGATTTTTTTTTTGCCTCTCCTCCCCACCCAAGAACCAATTTTCATCCCCCCCCCCACCCCCACCCCGGGGCCCTACCCCCGGGGCCCTCACTGAGAATCCACTCTGTGGGTCCAGTGAGTTTTCCAAATCACCAACATTCATTCATCTAGTACTTCTAAACCACACCTCCTTTTTCTTGCCGTCATCAACGCAATCATCCAACCACATTTTAACCTTTTACTGACCAAGTCCTAATGTCCCTTTACAGCCAATACATTCTTTTTTTTACTATGAGTTTTTCTTTCCTATGGTAAAATACTTTCTTATTTTTTATTGTTTTAAATTATATTTTACTGATTATGCTATTACAGTTGTCCTGATTTCCCCCCCTTTGCCCCCCTCCCCACAACACCCCCCACTCTCTCAGGCAGCCCCACACCATTGTTCAGGTCCATGGGCCATGTATGTAAGTTCTTTGGCTACTCCACTTCCTATACTGTACTTTACATCCCCATGACTATTCTGTATCGACCTATTTGTACTTCTTAATGCCCTGACCTCTTC